CGGTGACCTGGGGAGGTAAATCAGGAGGTGGCCACGAGCCCGTCCGTCGCAGCCCCTCCTGCCGTGTGCTTGGCAGCTCTGGCGTTGGTTTTGGTCAACGGTTTCTGCGTGGTTTATTTCCAGATTTGGCAGTGCGGCGGCTCCCTGGAGATTGTCACCTGCTCGCATGTTGGGCACGTCTTCCGAAAGGCCACGCCGTACACCTTCCCCGGCGGCACGGGACACGTCATCAACAAGAACAACAGGAGGCTGGCAGAGGTCTGGATGGATGAGTTTAAGGACTTCTTCTATATAATATCCCCAGGTAAAAAATTATTTTCTGATCATAGGATGATGTGTAAGGCTCTCTGAAAAAAGGGAAGTGTAAATGTAAGGCACGTTTAGGTAAGTGTAGACATGTAGGCGTGTATATGCACTAAAAGTTGGGACATGACAGCCAAAGTGCTTGCAGAAGTCAAGGGAATGTCCTTTCCACGTGTCGAAACCTGCTGCATTCCGTTCCCAGGGTAAAAATGTTCCTTAAGTTAAGGCTCCTCTGCTCCCAAAGGTCAGAAGGGTTTTTTTTCAGAATGTGATTCCCATCGTGTTCGTTTGCAGTCAAGTAGGAAAGCTCTTTGACCCATTCAGTCTAGAAATGCAGAATTTGGTCACATTATCCTTATGATCCCTGAGGGTCCCTTCCGACAGCGTCAAGGGAGGGACGGCAGCGCTGCTCGGAGCACTGCATGGACAGCAGGAGCTGGTCAGAGCCCAGGACACCATGAAGTGTCTTCACCACGTCCTTCTGTCTCTCCACTGCCCAGGGTCAGTCCTCAGGAGAAAGACGCTCTCCTAAACGTAGGAGATCCCTTGTCCTCTGCAGTGGTGATGTCAGTGCTATTTCAGCATAGCGTGCACAGCACGTGCAAATTGTGGTCATCACAGATCTCACACACAGTTATATGACATAAAAACATATTCCTATTTGATCGTGCAGCAGTCGTTAAGGGTTATCCGGTGGGTAAAAGTTTTGCTGACATAACCTAATGTTTTTAATATTCAAGCTGGAGGTGTTTTTATCTAAAGATAATTATGGCCCGCATAGAATTGAGCTTAATGGAGGAGATAAATTGAAAATGGAGTGGGACATGGGGGTCTCGTAGCTCTTCATGTCACTCTTCTCTGTATTTAAGCATCAGTTTACTTCATGCAACTAACGCTTAAATAAATACTGGTCTTTAGAATAATATAGTAATTACCCTCAAGTGTTTTCCATGGCAGTTTTCGTGTTCTTATTGCTATCATTTAAAATTAACCTGTTCACTTGAAAAATTGGACTTGGAGATATTTGAATTTTGATCAAACTTAGGGTTTTAAACAACACTTTTTTTTCCCCTGAACAAGAATGAAAAACTTTTACCGAGTGGCCGTGATCAGGGCAGAAAGCGCATGCACCTGCAGTGCTGGCTCTCCAGTCAGGACTGGTTTGCCCCTGTATTTTGGGTGGTCCCTTGGTCACCGCCAGCCTCTTACAGCGGGCAGTCTGAGCTAAGCCTTCGCTTTCCGTAAATCAGCTTTATTGAGCGTGATTTGGTTGAAATAAATGAAAAAATAAGATTAAAATGCTTTATAATGTTATTTTTCTCTTAAAGATTTGTATAGAAGAGGGAAAACTATTCTAGCTGGTTTTTTTACTCCAGTTTTACTGATACCTCAGAATTATACAGTTAGTAAAAACTAAATTGCTTCAGCTGAGAAGCCAGAACATACAATGCCTCACGTAGGAAAGCCAGTTATTGTTCACAGTGTTTATAAATTAATATTACCTAAAATGTCTGCGGTAGATGGTAGCCATAGCCTATGTAAGCTATTGTTCCTATTTCATGGTGTGCTCTGGGATAATCTCCCCATTCTTCCATCCTTAAACTTTCTTCCAATTTAAATTCTGCTCCTGCAGAATCAGTTTAAATTTTCACTCTCACCACGAAGTCAACCCCGGACCACGTCATTATGGGTGTGAGTTCTGCGTGCTGTTGTACCCCAGCTCGTGCTGGCCGCACGCCCGCTTGTTCCCACGAGCTTTGGTGCTTTGGTTGCTCCAGGGGTTCGGGACAGCTCGGTCAATCCCCAGGTGCCAACAGGTCATCCCAAGCTGCGGAGCCGGAGAGCTCTTGACTTCTGCATGGATTGTCGCACGTGTCCTGGGGCTGTCACAGTGTGGGCTCATAAAATGTGCTGAGCCTATCCTGGAAGACCCTTACCAAGCCAAAAAATCTAAAAAAACCCATGAAAAAAAGTCTGTGCACATCTGCAGTGCCCTGTTAGTGGTGTAAGAAAGATATTTCTGTATCTGTACCTTACATATACATGAAATATAGATGCATATAAGTGTATAGAACCAGAAGATGCAAGTATGAAACAAATCTTTAAAAGAAAGTCAACAGAGGGATGTTCCCCGTCAGTCAGAGGCTGGGGCTGGCACCCAGTGTTTCTGGGAAGCGTTCCCAGGGCTCTGTCCCGTGGTCATACGGGGAGAGGTGCAGGCAGATCCAGTAACGGGGCTCAGAGTGGAGCATCTGAGAAAGAATGTCTGGTCTCCTCAAGGAAAAGTACGTCTGTTTTCTCCAGGGAACAGCCTGTGAGGGAAGGAGGGATGAAACCATGGCAGAAGGGTAAATGTTCCTGACTTCAGCCTCCGTAACGAGAACCAAACTAGCGAAGGAGGTGAACCACCATCCCTCTCCAGCCTGAGTGCTGTAGGGGTGGCAGCGGGATTCCTGGAGGGCAGAGCAGGGTCTACAGAAGCCGTCAGTGTCTGCAGGTCCTGTTTTTCCTCTGCTGCCTGTGTTCCTTCTGAGTCACGGCGAGGAGGAGCTGCTGCCAAAGTCTGGAGGAGCAGGTCCTCCATGAGAGCTGCTGGTGTTGGGTGTCCCTCGTAGTGCTGGCTGTACGGAGGTGATGTGCCTGATGGGAGTGCACTGCGGGTTCCACGTGCTCTGGGTTTGGCAAAATGCAGAGGATAAACACACCATCAGTGAAAAACAGCCGCATCGACGGGGTCCTCTTCAATGTGGAAGTTGTACTTCGTGTGAGCTAGGCAGGCCTGTGTCCCTTGTAACCGGTGATGATGTCTACCCAATTAAAGCTGAAGGACTAGGGCGTGGGACAGAAGATTTGGCTGACTTTTTCTAGCATAATTGGTTTCTATTCTCCTGCAAGAGGAAGGGAAAGAAGTGGAAAAAATAACTATAATGCAGCCAAATGAATGTGCAATATGATGTAAAAGTGAATTCAAAACCTGTGTGAGATGCAGGCAAGTTCAAGCCATAAACGTATCACATGGGATTAGCCATTCTTTTATTCAGTTCTCCCTTATTAAGTTCATTTTTTTGTGTGGGCTTATAATACCAAGTTCCTATTGCATTTTTGTTGAACTAAATTAGTTTCTAATAATTTATCTGGAGAGCGTACGTACATTTTCGTAGGAGCGTGAGGCATGAGGCACTGACGATGTATATTCCCCACGCAGCCGACGTGGCAAGCGCGTTGCGCTCTGGGGGCTTTTGTATTCTGCCTCGACAGCAGGTTTTTCTAGGCTGATTAGGTGAGCTCAAGCTCTAAAAATACCATACTAAGGGCTATTTAAGATACAATACATTTTAAATGAGGTATTAGCAAAACGCACTTAAAGGTGAGTAGAATAGCAATGTACACGGTAGAATAATGTAAAAATTCCCGTTTCAGAAAGAGTGCCGGATGAAATTGCTACTGCGTGCTTTCATAAAACGTGTTACTATTTCAGCTAAAAAACATTTATTCCTAAATGCAACACTCCAAATCCTGGATCAGAACTCTTTGTTTTCTCTCCCTTTCGTTGCGTTGCTTTTTGTTTTGGGGTCTTCTTGGTGAGGGTCTCCCTCTAGGCCTTGATTTTATTTTTTTTAATCCTTTTTTCCACAGAATTTCTACTGAGATATTCTGAGTGGTGGGAGTGAGGATTTTAGTGCTGAGCAAAAGGTTTAATTCGGCTGTAGAAATTAAAATTAAAAGGCCATGGAAAAATATATCCCATTCAAGCCCACCTTTGACCAGCTTCTGGCACATCTGTAAAAGCTGGAGCAGTCCCCCTCGCTGTGGACTGTCCCTGCTCTGCTCCTGCGCCGGTTTGACCTGCCAGGCCTCCAGTGCAGTAAGTGAATTTGGAGCCACCCAAGTAAAAGGAAATAAAACTCGGGAAAGTGGCAGTAAGAAATACCTATTTCTGTCTTATCAGCATACACACGTTTCAGAGTGCCGTGTAAACGGAGCGATGCCGCCATACCTCTGCAGGTCTAAATATGACGGTTGGTTTTGAATGTGGAGAATTGAGGAGCGTGTTGGATGGTGGAAATCAGGACCTCGGTCCTTTCTGCTGCTGGTACCAGCCTGGAGCTGGTGGTGCTGCTGGTGCAGGCCGTTATTTGGTGTGGCCGTCTTCTGTTGAGCAGTTGGATGGATGGGTGGTTGGGTGGATGGATGGAGGGATTGATGGATGGGTGGTTGGATGGGTGGATGAATGGGTGGTTGAATGGATGGATGGATGGTTTGGTGGGTGGGTGGATGGATGGATGGATGCTCTGTCGGTTGGGAGGAGTGGTGAATACTGAATGAATGGGTGGTTGGATGGATGGATGGGTGGGTGGCTGGATGGGTGGGTGGGTGGATGGATGGATGGATGCTCTCTGGATTTGGAGGAGTGGTGAATACTGACGTGTCATCTTCTGAACTGGCCGGTATCCCGTGGTTCAGCTGGGTAGAAAATGCCTGATTTGGACATTTGGAGGTGGAGGTGCTTTTGATGGCAGATGTGTTGCATTGTCTGGAAGAGCACCTGCCGTGTGAGAGGTCAAATGAGTGCGCATTTTGAAGTGTCCTCATTAGTGCACATATCTTGGGCAGGAATAACAGATTATTGCCTGTTCTATTGGAGAGGGGCTTCTCAAACCGCTTTGGATAGTCAGTTTTGCAGCTCCCTGTACAATTTCCGAGGTTTCAGCAGGCAGCGGGGGAGGATATTATCAGCAACATTTTTTAACTTGGATGTCCAATATTAGGGTTTCTAGCCTGCATGTCATCAGCTGGTTTCTCAGGGGACAAGACGTCTCTTCTCCCGTGGAAAAGACCAATTCTTGCCGTAGGCCGTTTTAATTTGAGCTCCTACGCAGAGATATAAATGCAAGGCTATCTTTAACGAGCCATTTTTCAGCAGTCTGACATCCAGTGGGACACGGTGCGTTGCAGGTACCCTTCCCACAGCGATTCCTTTGGGCAGGGAAAGCCGCCGGC